GTAGGGGGCAGCAGCACAAGCCTCTTCATAAAAACTGGGGGGGGGGGAGGCTTCTAGTGGTGGCAGAGGAATGCTGCCTTTTGCACAGACTGCTAACTACAGTGGCTGCAGGGTGTCTCACGTAGGCCAAAGTCCACCAATAACCAGTCGGACAACCTGCATCCAGATTGATCAAATGGTCATTAGGTGGATATGAATTCAGTGTGTGGGCCAAATCTGAATCAGCAGCCTGCGGACAAAAGGCCGTGTCCTGTGACCAATCCCCAAAGACATAGGCAAACCAGATTCGTGATTGTCAGGCTGCATATCCTGAATGCTAGGCTCTTGGCAGTAGACCCACAACGATAACACTGCAGGCAACAAGAATATTAGCATCCCCGCAGTGATGATGATGTCTGTGTAACTAGATGCAATTAAACCAGGGGTGGGCAATTATTTGGGCTGGAGGGCCACTTAATGAGTTTTGGTGAGCTGTTCAGGGACAGGGGTGGAAAGGCAAGGAGATACCAATTGATCCTATCCAGCCCTTCGGCTGCCACTGGGAGCCTGAGGAAATGGGGCTGCATCTGCATTGAGGGCTTGGGCCATGCAATGCACAGACTCCTCCACCCCCTGCATCAAGCACCCCCCACCCCGGTTTTCTGTTGGTGCTACGCAATCCTGGCACCATGGCTATCAACAGCTAGGCCTGCACGGGACAGGGCATGATGCAGCATGCCAAGCAGGTGTCCTGCCCACCCACTGAGATGAGCTGCCACCTCCGTGCCACACTGGGAAAGTCAGGGGTGGAGGAGGCTGCGCATTGCACGGCCTGGTCTGACCCCAGGTGAAGCAGAGCGGAGCAGCACAAAGTGCAGCCCTCCCTCCTCACGCTCTTGGTGGCAGCTGGTGGGCAGGATAGGATCAACTGGCAGGTTGGATATAGCCTGCAGACTGTATTTCACCCACCTCTGAATTAAATCAAAGCCACATGGACATATTTGTAGCAATGTTCCATTAAGAAATATCACCATGAGCAGTGAGCTGTTTGGGAGACACTATTTTGTTTGCTTGTTTTCAAATGGAAACAAATCCTCATGGATTCTGCTGTGAAGGATAAAAACCCAAACTGTGAAGCTCCCACCCCCTCTCCCAGCGTTACCTTTTCAGGTTTTTATCTCCAGCAGCTTTTGTTTGCTTGTTCCAGGGTAGTAACTATTGGGTGAGTGCTGGGATACCAGTGAGCAAATCTGCCCATAGGAGTTGTCAGAAGGCAGCTGACTCCTGGCTCTGCCATCCCCATGGGAAATGGGGATACCTCCTCACACACAGAGGATGCTCTGTGCTTCTGTTTGGAGGGCCTGGCTCACCTCGCAGCTAGGTGTTTGTGCCAAACTGCACTCCAGCTAAGCTACAGGACATCATTGCCCTGCTAGGGTCATGGCACGACCAGTAGTATGTACTGGTTTGCCAAAGGGTTTGTTTTATTGATACCCTTGGACCTGTGATGTGCAGATTACTGCACTTTACCCTGGGGACTTGCTGTCCCCTGCCTATTCAGGACTTCACACAGCAGAGTACATGGGCCTGGAGTCACAAGAAAGTTGCGTGTGATGTCCGATTCACGCAGTCGCACACGCTCAGCCACATGCAGACTGTCAGATAGGGAGGCTGGTTTTAAAGGACAAAGCTGAAGAGCCAAACCCTGAGTGTCCTGGGACAAACTACAGCATGGGGACAACAGACAATCTGTTCAGGAAGAGAACAGTAAAGACCCATTCTGCAACCCTCCTTTCCCCAGTTGCTGCTATTGCCAAGAACATCCTCTGGGCAACCAGGTTTGACCAGTCTCATGGGCAGCAGCACATGTGAAATCTTCTCTGACAGCAGGGGAAGTGCTATCATAAAAGCTTCTACAGGAAACCGGTGCCCTAGGACCTTGGCTACCCTATGATATTGAGCTTGCGCCAAGAGTGATTGTCAGCAGTGACTCCTTTTGTCCAGACTGGAAACGGGCTAATTGCTTGCCTGTTTTTGATGGACATTTTCACCACTGCAATGGATCTCTGATGACAGTCCATGTCTCTGGCCTGGTGCAGACACACAGCAACTACACAGTCGTAATGGAGGAAACCCCCTTGTCTACACAGATGGGGAGGCTACTATCCTTGTGGGCACCATCTCTGACAGCCATGGAGCCTGGTGGGCCTGTGCACACCAGCACCTGCAGCAGCCTCCCAGAGAGAAGCTAGCCTGCCCTGCTGCTCCCCTTCATGGCACCTACAACAGGGATCTGGGGATGCCAGGACAAAAGGGGAGCGTCCAGACAAAAGTGCGTGTTGGGACCCAAGCAAAGGTCCACACTGCTATTCCTGGCACAGCAAAGCAGCTCTGGGCGAGGGCGATTCTTAATCAGCCTGACACAGAAAGCCTCATCCAGGCCCGCCTGCCCACCCAGGAGAATGACTCCATCAGCCACCTGTCTCTGGACAGGAGCTTCATGTGCCACAGGACAAATGCCCAGAGCTCAGGAGCAGCCCTGGGCTGCCCGAAGCTCTGTTGGCAAGGGGGAGGGAAAGGCAGCCTGCACCTGGCACTCCGCCATGAGGCAAAGTCTACTCATGGCCCAGCCCAGCCCCGGGTGCAGCTTCCCCCACCACCTGCCTGCCCCGAGCTGAGCTAGCCCCACTCTTCCACATCCTGCTCTGCTCGCAGTGCTTGACCTCAGCCTGCAAATCCCTTTACAGCAGGCCAGAGAGGCCAAAGCCCTTCTCCCCACGCCTCCCCTGGGGCAGGGCAGCGCATCACTCTCTGCAGCTTCCCTCCAGTGTTGCCAGGTGTGTGATCATTATCGTATTTGTGCAATCATTTCAACCCTTGTACGATCTATAACAGTAAGAGTGTTCAAAATGCACGCTAATTTTGGAGGCAGCTAATGGATGCAGCATGTGCAAAACCCAGATCACTCTCTGGGAGCCTTAACTGACTTTTGGGTTTACTTCCTTTTTGTCTTTTTTTGCACATATACGTATAATACATATACAACTACCTCTAGCAACCTGTCAAGCGAGTGCTGCGGTTCACTTGGCCAATTAAAACAGACTTGTTACACCGCTTGCACGCACAGCCCATGTGTGACCGCCGGCCTCCAAATAAAGAAACGCGTCCACTCCTGTGACCCGGTTCTCACTGGGGAGTTGAAGTGAGCAAGAGAAAGTAAATCAGAAGAAGGCTTATTTGCAGGCTTATTTGCATATTTTTCAGCGTACGATTGCTCTTTTTCTCCAGCAAATACGATAATTTTGAGTTTGCCATGATCATTTCATATTTAAAACCTGACAACGCTGGTTCCCTCCTGCCTCCGCGCTGCAGTGACAGCCCCATGGCGGGGCAGGGGCAGGGGCAGGGGCACTTACCAGGCTCCTGGCTAGGAAGGCCAGCATAGCTCCTGCCTGCAGCAGCCCCCAACTCGGCCGCCTCCCGCTCCCGCGCCGCAAGGGCAGGGACAGGCGGCAACTTCCAGGGTAACTTCAGCAGCTGGGAGGGGCCGGCACCCCCGCCATCTTTGTGCGGGGCAGTGTCCTGCCTAGTGCATAGAAGGGGCGCCATCTTTGTGCGGGGCAACCCCCCCTACATTGACCAATGAGCTGGCGCGCTGCCATGTTTGTGAGGGGCGGGCTTTCACTCTGAGCGGCGCCGCCGCCATCTTTGTGAGGGGCATTCCTCGCCCCGATCTCTGCCCTGAGGGAAGAGCAGGCCGGGTTTGGGTTGCACTACTGCATGCGTCGCTGCTATTGTCTCCCGGGCGGGCAGCAGTGACTCTGAGCGGCCGGGGTGGGGAACTGCTGGAATCCGGGCTCACGGGTGGGCCCATCATGACACGGGGGGAGGGGGAATCCCTCCAGCCGCTCCCGAATTCCCGGTCGCTTGAAGGATCGCGGGTTGTTCCTACAAGGCGCGTTCCTCCCGTAGTGCCCAGCGTGCCCCGCACCAACATGGCCGCTCGCCGGTGTTGCCCGGCACAAACATGGCCGCATCAGCAACGGCGGCGCCCGGCATGCCCCGCGCCAACATGGCAATCTCTTATGGGACAGACGACGTGCCCTTCCTAAAGATGGCTGCCCGGCTGCTCCCCGGGTGTGTGTCGGGAGGGCAGAGGTGAGAGGTGAAGGGTGATAACGGCAGTGGCCCTGCTCCAGGAAGATGGCAGAGAGCGAGCGGCAGACAGGTGAGGGCAGAGCCCGCGGGGCCAGGTGGTGCCCGTGGGGGCAGTCCCGGCGGGGCGCGGGGGTCACTTGGGGGACGCAAAAGACGCAAATCAAATTTGTTTGGGGGGCACTGGGAGGGCCGAGGTTTGCTGCTACCCGAGGGAGAGCCCCTCGGCCGGTGGGGGTGTGTGTGTGTGTGTGTGTGTGTGTGTGAGTGTGACAGCGTCTCCTTCGTCAAGGGCCGTTCTCGTCACAAAATATCCTCCTGCCACCCCCCCCCCCCCCCCCCCCCCCCC